GTAATGCAGGATTTACATCATTAACAGTATAACCCCATTCCTCCAAGTACCCTTATAGAAGCCTTATAGTACCCTTATAGAAACCTTATGAAAGCCCCTTATACATCCCTCCCTGACAGTACCAGTATTTTGTATTGGAAGGTTTAGGGCCTGGGCTCAGGGTAAAGGGCTCTTTGTTTTACGGGAGCTATGGTATATTCCTTACAGCCCTCTATAGCTGACGGAGTACCAAGACTGACCAAGGTAATATAGAACCCTTATAAAGAATTGCCAATACTAGTGTGGCGGGGCTCCTGATTGCAACAAAAGTAGAATGGACCCCAAAACCCTATTCTACTTATGAAGGCCCCTACACCCCAAACCCTTGTAGTAGCGCTTATAGAACCCCTTAAAAAAAAAAACCTTGAAAGGAGCCCCAAAGCCCACTTCTAATTATGAAGGCCCCTACGTTACAACGGAGTCCGGGCTTGCCGCCCAGGCAGAAGGATGACGTATCGATCCGGAGCCATGGCTGTCGCAGCTGTGTGGCTTGGCTATGCCAGGGCTCCTTCGGGTCGGGGGTTCGAGCCTTTTATGGTGTTTAAATTAAAGGAGGCCCTAAACCCCTAAACCCTAAACCCTAAACCCTACATTCTAGGGTTTAGGGTTTAGGGTTTTTCGGGGTCTGGGGGTTTCGGGTATGCCAGGGCTCCCCAGAGACTCCAATATCCTTTAATTAAGGACAATACCTTAAATCTTATTACGGTTCCTATTATAATTTAAGGTAAACTCCTTAATTAATGGATATTGGAGTCTCTGGGTGATTCGGGTCCGGGCTTCGAGCGCTTTGGGGTTTAATGTAGGGTTTAGGGTTTTGGGGGGTTTAGGGTTTGGGGTCTTTAGGGGTTTAGAGTTTCGGGTTTAGGGTGTAGGGTTTTGGGGTTTAGGGTTTGGGGTTTTTTTGGCCCATGATTCTTTCCAGTTGGTAGAAGTTTCAACTTAAAAAGGAAGTAACATCTTTCTCTGACCGTGTCGGTGAGCGTAAAGCTAGTCCAAAAGCTCTACCTGTGACCCCCAAACCCTACAAAACAGGAAGGTGATGCCCACTTAAATTTAGGGGTTTAGGGTTTAGGGGTTTAGGGTTTAGGGGTTTAGGGTTTAGGGTTTTCTGAAAAGGCCTTCATAGAGCGCACCTAACTCCTGTAACACGACCTACTTACAAACCCTTGTAAAGCCTTCACTAGACAATCACTCTTAGTGTCCTTATCATTATGACCACGACCGTCATTCTTGCTTGTATTCTTCGTCTTTTTGTGTTGTTATTACCATTGTCACTATACTGTCATTATGATTCTGCTTGCTTTTATTATTTCACTATAGCCATTAGCCCTAGACCCCAAACCCTAAACCCCAAACCCTAAAACCTAAACCCCAGAAGCCCTCAATGTTTGAAAACAAACTATAACATAACATAACATAGCATGGTATAGTCTTACTCATTTCATCTAGGACACTTTCAGGTGGGTAGTTTCCGTTATGGGATCCTTATAGAAGATCTATATACCTTATAGAAGCATAGAAGCCCTATATACCCTAAACTCCCCACCTGTCGTTTCCTTTAATGAAGCCCCTATGCCCCTAAACCCCTCAGCCCCTAAGCCCCTAAACCCCTAAACCCTATTCCCTTATAGACCCCTTTAAGTGGGAACCCTAAACCCTAAACATAGATCCCTTATAGATCCCTTTAAGGAATCCTTATAGATCCCTTTAAGGAACCCTAAGCCCTAAAAAAGGAACCCCAAAGAAGGAACCCCAAACAGACAAAAAAGGGTGCCCCTAAGCCCCAAGGGGGGGTCTCTAAACCCTAAGCCTTTCTAGATCCATTATAGAACCCTCATAGATCCCTTTAAGGAACCCTAAACCCTAAACATAGATCCCTTATAGATCCCTTTTAAGGAATCCTTATAGATCCCTTTAAGGAACCCTAAACCCTAAAAAAGGAACCCCAAAGAAGGAACCCCAAACAGACAAAAAAGGGTGCCCCTAAGCCCCAAGGGGGGGTCTCTAAACCCTAAGCCCTTCTAGATCCCTTATAGAACCCTCATAGATCCCTTTAAGGAACCCTAAACCCTAAACATAGATCCCTTATAGATCCCTTTTAAGGAATCCTTATAGATCCCTTTAAGGAACCCTAAACCCTAAACCCTAAACATAGATCCCTTATAGATCCCTTTTAAGGAACCCTAAACCCAAAAAGACCGCCTGCCAGTCTCGGCCTCGCCGGGGCCGGCGCCTTCGTCGCGCCGCAGGGCGCGCAGCGCCGGCTGCGGGCCCCGGCACCTTCGGCGTGGGAAAATTGGGGGGGCTTTTGGGGGTTTCCTTAAAAGGGATCTATAAGGGCTTGGGGTTTGGGGGTTTTGGGGGTTTGGGGGTTTGGAGGGTTTTGGGTTTTAGGGTTTTAGGGTTTTGGGGGTTTTGGGGTTTTGGGGTTTGGGGTTCAGGGTTTAGGGGGTCTATAGGGTTCCTTTAAATAAAGGGATCCTCTAGAGGCTCTACAGGGCTTTAGGGGTTTAGGGATATAGGGTGTAGATATTCGGGGTTTTAGGGGTGCCTTGAAAGGGTTCCATAAAGGCTTCCGTGAGGATCTTTAGAGGGTTTCAGGCTTCGCGGTTTCAGGGTGTACTGTAGGACTGTAGGGTCCTCGATCACGAGTGTCCGCCCTTTGCAGCCCCGCATCGCGATGCCCCGGATGGTTTACATACGGCAGTGGACTCCTACAACTTACTTGTACAGGTGTCGGTAAGGTTTGTCAAAGCCCTCCAAGATCATTGCGGTTTGTCATGGTTGCTGGTCAGCTTCGTCCTCATGATCGAAATTGTGAAAACGGTGGCTCCCAAATAACATTGCAATGAGGGTATGAGTCGAGTATGGGCATAAGTTCTTTGGTATCAGGCTTGTGTAGTTTCAGAAGATCCTCAGCTACTTTTCTTGGGTCCTTTTGATAACGGTGCCGTACTTACCGGGTACCCAAAAAGGGGACCCTAATTTAGAGAACTACCCATAGATCCTCACTGAAACCCTTCAGAGGAGCTCTTAACCCCTTAACCCCGAGACCCTTAACAGACTCTCCCCCCCCAAAGAAACCCTCCAAAGGAACCCCTAAACCCTAAACCCCTAAACTCTTCTAAATCCCTTACACATCCCTTTCGGGAACCCTAAACCAGCAAAAAGGAGCCCCAAAAAAGACCAGAAACAACCCTAAAAAGGAGCCCAAAAAAAGACAAGAAACCCTAAAAAGACAAGAAGCCCTAAAAAGGAGCCCCCAAAAAAGACACAAAAAGGGGCCCGAAAACCCTAAACACCTATAGATCCCTTCTTAATCCCCTCTAAGGAACCCAAAACCCCTTATAGGAAGCCCCTGGAAGCTCGGAGGCAAAAGACCCCTAAACCCTAAACCCCGACAAGCCCTAAACCCTTATAGATCCCTTTAAAGGAAGCCAAAACCCAAAACCCCAAAACCCTTAAACCCCTAAAAAGCCCCTAAGCCCCTAAACCCAAAAAACCCCAAACCCCAAACCGGGCCCCAAAAAAGACTCGGAGGCCTCCCAGGCCGGCTCCTCCCTCGGAGCCCCGGCGCCGGCGGAGGGCTCCTCGGGTACCTGGGGCGGTGCTGGGAAGCCTTGGGGGTGCTTTAAAGGGATTTATAAGGGATTTTATAAGGGTTCCTTTAAAGGGAGCTTTAGGGGTTTAGGGTTCCTTAAAGGGATCTAGAAGGGGTCTATAAGGGATTTAGGCCCCCTTTTGTCTTTTTGGTGGCTCCTTTTTTTAGCGTTTAGGGTTCCTTTAAGGGATCTATAAGGGATCTATAAGGGTTCCTTTAAAGGGATCTACAAGGGTTCCTTTAAAGGGATCTATAAGGGAAGTCTTGGGGTTTAGGGTTTAGGGTGGCTTTTAAGGGGTCTATAAGGGATTTTATAAGGGTTCCTTTAAAGGGAGCCATATAAAGGGATCTATAAGGGTTCCTTTAAAGGGGCTTTTAAGGGAACCTTTAAAGGAATCTATAAGAGAACCGTTAAAGTGATCTGTAAGGGCTCGTGAGAAGTGTGGCTTCTTAGGGTGGTTTAGGGGTTTAGGGGGGTTTAGGGTTTAGGGACTTGGGGGCTCAGGGGGGTTTAGGGTTTAGGGGCTTAGGGGTTTAGGGAGGTTTAGGGGGGGTTTAGGGTTTAGGGGCTTAGGGGTTTAGGGTTGAGAAGTCTTCGGGCTTAGGGCTACCCAGACCACCGGAAGGATCTAACAAGTAGGTACTACTAAGGGGTACCTCAAAGGAAAACCCTTAGGGGGATCGATTTTTTAGATCCTTCCGGTGGTCTGTGTACCTTTAGGGGGCCTGAAGAATTAGAGTGGAGCTTTGGGGGGCTCCTTTAAAGGGTTCCTTAAAAGGGTTCGATGAGGGCGGCTATAAGGGTTTTGGGCTTGGGGCGTGAATAATTGGAGTGGGGTTTTGGGGCCCATTTTACTATAACTGTAATAAGGAGCCCCTAGAACTCTATGGGTAATGATTTAGGTCCCTACCAGGAGGGTTTGTTTAGGGCTTTGGGGGTGTTTGGGGCTTTGGGTGTGGACTTGGGTCGGATGGAAACCCTAAACCCTAAACCCTAAACCCTTACCAGCACTACTCGCATTACTGTAGGACTCTGGGCTTCTTACTACAGTTACTACGTACGGCTGATGATAGAAATCCTGCATTACCCCATACTTTGGGAATATACCATGATTCCCATAGTTTAGGGTCGTCAAGGTAATGCAGGACTTCTATCATCAACAGTATGAAGGGTATAGCACACTCCACAACCCTATTCCAATTCGAAAGGCCCCTATTTTGCATTGTCCCAGGCGGTTGTACAGGGCTGGGAACCCTCGTGGAGCCCTGAAAACACAAGAGCCCCCCAAAAAAGGCACCCTAGAACCTATAAGCCCTATAACCCTAAAAAGCCCCAAGCCCTAAGCCAAGCCCCATGGAGGCCTCTGGACGGCCTGCTCCCTGGGTGGCGCACTGCTGGCCGTGGGCGCCGCGGCCTCGCCCTCGGAGTCGACTTCTGTGCCCTACCTGTAACCGAAAAGACCTACCTTTTTAAGGAACTATATATAGAAACCATAATAAGGAACCCCAAAACGGTAGGTCTTTTCGGTTACAGGTACGCCCTAAAGGGGTTTAGGGCCTTAGGGTTCTCCTGGGGCTTCAGGGTTTAGGGCTTTAGGGTTTTAGGGTTTAGGGCTTTAGGGTTTTAGGGTTTAGGGCTTTAGGGCTTTAGGGTTTTAGGGCTTTAGGGTTTCAGGGTTTAGAGTTTAGGGCTTTAGGGTTGAGGGTTGAGGGCTCCCAACAAGGGTACTGTATAGGGACATGGAGTTCTATGGGTCCCCTTTGTAAGGGTACTAGAGGGTTCGATAATAGGGTCCCCGGGGATCTAGAAGGGGGCGGCATAGGCGTGTTGGGGGGTTTGCGGTTAAAGGGTTTAGCGATCTTCGGGGGTGCTGGGTTGCCTTAGTTAAAGGAAACTACAGGTGGGGGGTTTAGGGTTTAGGGTGTAGTTTAGGGTAAAAAAAGGCTTCTATAAGGCTTCTATACGGTATATAGACCTTCTATAAGGCTCCTATATCAGTAGCTACCCACCTGAAAATGTCCTAGACTTTAAAGGGTCTTATAGGATTCTCTCATAGGGTCCCCTTTAAGGGTTCTTACAAGGGTTCAAGGGTTCCTTTAAGGGCTTGGCTCCAGGGAACCCCTATAGCTGTTCTTGCTGCTGCTGCAGCGGCCACGATGCGACTTCCATCGCCATCCTATCACCATGGAAGGAGAGTTCGAAACCCTAAACCCTACTGTTGTTGATAGAAATTTTGCATTACCTTAAGGACCCTAAACTATGGCAATTATGGTATATTCCTCATTATGGGGTAAGACAGGAACTGTATCATCCACCCTAACCTAGGACATTTTCAGGTGGGTAGTTACCGTTATAGGAGCCTTTTATAGAAGGTCGATATACCTTATAGATGCCTTATAGAAGCCGTATATACCCTAAACTCCCCAGCTGTAGTTTCCTTTAACTAAACCCTAAACCCTAAACTCCCCACCTGTAGTTTCCTTTAAAGCAGTGAGGTCACCCGCCGAGCCGCAAAGGCGCCAGTGGAGGTCGTGGCGGAGGCCATCCCCCGCCCTGAGGACCTGCTCGACTCCCCGAAGTTCCCCATGTTCCTTGGCTGAGGGCCTTGAGGGTTCAGAACCCTTAGAAGCCCCAGAACCCTATCTATATAGACCCTATAACCCCTATAATTTAGCCCCCAAAAACCCTTCAGGGTTTTGGGGTTTTGGGGGTTTTGGGGTTTGGGGCCTAGAGGTTTGGGGATTTTAGGTTTAGGGTTCCTTGGTCAACATAGCAAGGGATCCGTTTTACTGTTTGTGGTGTGGTTACCAGCTTGTTTGAAGGGAGCCCGTGAAAAGGACCCATTATTTCCTTTCCGTCCTAACCGTGACCCAGGTTCGAGGGCTCCACGGGCGGCTACATGTCCCGCTCCACCCGCGAGAGGCACGCCATCACCTGGACGGCCAAGGGCCAGGCCAAGTTCGAGATGCCCACGGGTGGCTTCGCCATCATGAACCAGGGCGAGAACCTGTGCTACTTCAGGAAGAAGGAGCAGTGCATCGCGCTCGGCAAGCAGCTGCGCAAGATGAAGATCGAGAACTACAAGATCTACCGCCTGAAGAAGGATGGCACCGTGATCTTCATGCACCCGGCTGATGGTGTCTTCCCCGAGAAGGTGAACAAGGGACGTGTGCAGGTGAACGGCCGCCCCTTCACCATCCGTGGCAACCCTCAGCAGTCCGAGCTGAAGTTCACCAAATACCAGGGTAAGGGCTACGAGGCGGACCCCCTGACCACCATGTTCGTCAAGGCCCGCGTGATGGCCTTCGCGGATGTGCCCAACCTGTTCGCCCTGCCCCAGCCCAACATGGATGAGCTCGTGCCGGCCGAGGAGGTGGACAAGTACACCCGCCAGGAGTACACCACCAGGATGATGGAGGCAGGCTTTGGGGGCTTGGTTTTGGGACACCGGGAATTTCCCCCCAGAAGTTTCTTAACTGCTCAAGCAGGTGTTCATCACGTTGTTGTGTCTTCTTGTCGGCTTTTGGTTTTGTTCTCGAAGACTCGAAGACATGACAGCTTTGTTCTAGTTTAGGGTTTAGGGTTTAGGGCTGTCAATCTGGGGCTGGCTTCAATCAGACATACCTTGATCAGGGGTCTTTATACTGCGGATCCGCCTGGTTAGGATGAACCCTTAACCTGAACCTTAAATCAAGCATGCGTTTTTTCGCAATTCTTCAGAAGTTGGCGTTTGGAATCCTTCAATCAAGAAGCCCACCTGTTGATGTTTCCGGTATACTTGGAGGACCATGCCGACTTTCCAAGTAGGCAACAGGGCAATATATGCATGTGTATTCACCAAAGTATGTGTCTTTCTACGGGTTGGGGTTCATCGGTCTGCTTACATTACATGCTGTTAGAAATGTGCAGTAAGGGATGAGTTGTTTGTTTGTCTGTATATACGTATGATTACGTAATATCTGTGTACCTATATATATATATAGACATACACACGCATACACACACATATACATATACATAAATGTATATATATATACACATCCATATACATATGCATATGCATATGCGTAAGCATAAGCATATGCATACGCATACATACATACGTGCATACATACATACATACATACATGCATAGATACATACATACCTACATACCTACCTACATACCTACATACCTAAAAACATATATATATGTATGTATATATATAGATTTATTTATTATTTATACATATACATACACATATACATATACATACACATACACATACACATACACATATACATATACATATACGTATACCTATACATATACATATACATACGCACATACGAACATACGAACATGCGAACATGCGTACATACATACGTACACAATGAGTTTAGGGGCTGGGGTTTAGGGTATAATATTTAGGGTATACATACAGAATGCAGTAGGTGTGCAGTCTGCAAGGTCCTACAGCCCTCGGCAGGTCTTGTAAACCCTTCTTGAACACCAAAACCCCTGTAAAGAGACACTGAACTTTAGGGGTTAAGGGCTTAGGATTTAGGGTTAAGGGTTAGGGTTTAAGGTTCCTTGTAAAAACCCCAAAGGCCCTCCCGGAATCCTTGCAAAGCCCCTCTGAAATCCTGAAATCCGCGTGCAGATAAGCAAAAACTGCACCCCAAAAAACCGAAGAAACCCTCTAAAACCCCTGAATCCTGGACTCCAGAATTTCGCTCGAAGTCCTCTGTGAACGTAAGACCCCCTAAAGCCTGAAAATTCCTAAACAATAAACCCTCAAAAAGCTCAAATATAGGGGCCGGAACAATTACCAATGCTATTTTGGGGGGTTCCTTCGTATAACTACAGTATAAAAAACCCCCAAAACCCTAGTCTAAATATTAAGGCCCCTACATTAAACCCCCCTAAAGCCCCTACACCCTACAAACCCCAAACCCTAAACCCCTAAAGCCCTAAACCCCCTATAGATCCCTTATAGATCCCTTTAAAGGAACCCTAAGCCCCATGAAGCTCCTCAGCTCAAAAGCCTCCCCGGGCAAAGCCGGGCTTCGATTGGCGGCGAGGCGCTGAAGCGCGTCCAGGACGACCGCGCGGCGAAGGCGGCCAAGAGCCTCTAAGAAGGCCCGGGGGCGATGCTAGGGTTTAGGGTTTAGGGGCTTTAGAGGGTTTGGGCCTTAGTAGTTAGAGTAGGGTTTTTGGGGGGTATATTATGGGTTTGGTATAAAAACGCCTGGATAGATACCCATGTCCCCAGAGAGCCCAATACCCCTTAATTAAGGAGTATACATTAAATCAGAATATTAAGGTCCCTAATTATAATTTAAGGCCTGGGGCGATGCTAGGGTTTAGTATCAACGCCTGGATAAATACGGTTGATGATATAAATCCTGCATTGCCCATAATGAGGAATAGACCATAATTCCCCGTAGTTTAGGGTCCTTAAGGTAATGCAGGATATCATCAACAGTACCAATGTCATTCCTTAGGATCTTAGGGTCATCGGCTTTTTGGCTTCAGGGCTTCAAGGTCTTTATGGGTGTTGTGGGTTGCGGTTTAGGTATGTTTAGGCTTTTGGGGTTATAGGGGTTCCTTGAAACGGGGTTCCTTCAAAGGATTCTCATAAGGGCTACCATGAGGGTTCTGTTTGGGGCGTATGGGTTAGGGTTTGAGGGAGGTGGGGAGTTACCGTTATGGGAGCCTTATAGAAGGTCTATATACCCTATAGAAGCCTTATGGAAGCCCTATATACCCTAAACTCCCCACCGGTAGTTTCCTTTAATATAAAGGGGACCACACGGGATCTCTGGGTGTTTGTCAAAGGAGATATGCGGCTTTGGTGAGGGTTTAGGGCTTGATGTAGAAGCCTAGAAGTAGTTGCCGAGACCGTTTTTTTGGAGAGAGGTGAGGTGGGTTCAGCGTTCAGGGGTTAAGGCTTTGATTTGGGTTATGGGGGGGTCCTATAGGTGTTCCTTTAACGGGTTCCTGGAAGGCTTACTGCAAGGGTTCTAGCAGGATGGAGGGTTTGGGTTGCAGCTTTTAGGGCTTTGGCTTTAGGGGTTTAGGGATTAGGGGTTTAGGGATTAGGGGTTTAGGGTTTCGGGTTCAGGGTTGAAGGGGTTGGGTATGTAGGGCTCAGGATTTAGATTGAGGGAGATGGTCTGGGGCACTTGTGGATCAAGGGAATAGAGGAGAGACCCTTAAAGGGACCCTTGGGGCTATATAGGGGCTTTATTAGACTATGTAAGGGGTATATAAGGGTTATATTCGGGTATTAGGATTGGGGGTCCCTTCTGGGGGTTCCTCCTATTGCCCCTTCAGTGGAGTTGGATCTAGACTTTGGGAGGTATGCGATCTTCTCACAGGTTGTTTCCAACGGCCTGGAGATGGTTTGGGGCCTCTGGAGGAATCTGGAAACCCTAAACCCCTAAACCCCTAAACCCCCAAACCCTAAACCCCTAACCCCTAAACCCCTAAACCCTAAACCCATAAACCCTAAGCCCTAAGCCCCTGACTTGTTTATGGTTTCAAGCGGCGGTCCGGAACTTTCTTAGGCCTTCACAGGGCTGTAATCCAGGTTTCTTTATCATTTGTAGCATTCTGCTCTGGTCCCGAGTAGTTGAATACAGCGTTTTTTTCTATTAGGGTTTAGGGTTTAGGGCTTTGGGTTTAGGGGTTTAGGGTTTAGGGTTTAGGGCAAAGAATTCTATGATGCATTGTAGACCCTACTCTACCTAGTGTTCTCGGAAAGGTCCTAGTGTGTCTGTAGAGTGTGAAGAGGCTGTAAGCAGGGGGCTAAACCCTAAACTCCAAACCCTAAACCCTAGACCCTAAAACCCTAAACCATCAAACGGGGGGGGGGGAGGCTCGGGGTCCCTTAAACGAGGTCGGGATGGTTAGTAGTAGTCTTTTTAGGGTTTAAGGTTTAGGGTTTAGGGTTCTTCCCTCATGGTCCCTACAATATTAACCTCGTAAGAGACGAGTGCAAGATACTGCCCTGAACCCTAAACCTAGTCTTCATCAAGGCTCCTGGAGGGCCGAAGATAGCAGTAGAAGGTTTAGGGTTTAGGGGTGGGTGATAGGGATCAGGGGAAAGGTGGGTCGTAGGGTTTAGGGCTTAGAGCGGGTTTAAGGTTTTGGGACAGCTGGTTTGTTTTTTGGAACAGTTTTCATGCAGGAGCCCTTGCTCATGAGATCCTTCATACAGGGCTCGAAAAAAAAACGACCCCCTAGAGACCCTAAGCCGCAAACCCAGGCAGCTCAATGACACCCTAAACCCCTACACCCAAAACCTTGAACCCCTACACCCAAGACCCTAAACCCCTACACCCAAAACCCTAAACCCCTACACCCAAAACCCTAAACCCCTACACACAAAACCCTAAACCCCTAAACCCCTAAAACCCTAAACCCTAAACCATGCCCCTGGCACAGGCACGCTGACATCGGCCACATTTTTGGGTTCCGCTTGCAGCGGGGAGTGGTGCCTAAAAAATGCGGGGGAGCGGCTCTGCCTTGGGTTTAGGGTTTAGGGGTTTAGGAGTTTAGGGTTTGGGGTTTAGGGGTTTAGGGTTTGGGGGTTTAGGGGTCTAGGATTTAGGGGTTAGGGTTGCTATGAGCAACAAAGCACTTAGAGGGTAAGCACAAGGCACAATGTAATCGTCATCAGGTTGTTGCCAACATCATCACCACCATCGACATCAACGTCATCATCACCAGCAACAAGAAGAACAGCAGCGGCAGCAACAACAACAACAACAGCAACAGCAACAGCAACAACAACAACAGCAGCAGCAACAACAACAGCAACAGCAGCAACAACAACAACAGCAGCAGCAGCAGCAGCTGCTCCACCACCACCACCACCACCACCACCACCACCACAATTGCCCTCACCATCAGCATCATCACCATCATCTTCTTCATGATCGTTTTAATGCTACTGCTGCTACTGCTGCTGCGAGTGCGACAGCTACTGGCAGTACAAACACGCCCACCGCCGCCGCCGCTGTCACCGCCATTTCCTCTTAGGGACACTAGTTGCGGGAGTCGCTAGAGGAATCGTCAATGTGCAGATAGACCACAGGAGCCAGAGCAAAGGCCTATCTCTCCGTTCGGTCCATAAGGCGTCATACGCACCCTTACCCGCAGACCCGAAGCAGCAATACCGCATGCACGCCAAAGGAACCTAGCAGCATTTTAGTTGAAGAGTACTGAAACCATTCTGTGGGAAACCCCGCGCCAGCAGCGTTACGATTCTGGTGTTGGAAGACCATGGAGATTGGTCAGTTCGACTAAGAGTTAGAAGTGAGGGAACTAGAGCTGCATCTACTTGCAATTAAGCCCACTCTTCGCTGGCATTTGCATCCTTGTTCAAAAAACACAGAACCCTGCGAGTGGAGTCCGGCAAGCATTGCTCAAAGTCGCCCCCGGGGTTCCTTCCTCTTCCCATCATGTCTGGAACTCGGAGCCTCGCAGTACTCGGCGGCCTCGCCGGGCTCCTGGGCGCCTGTGCCTTCGTGGCCCCCAGCGGACAGAGCCGGCTCCGCGCCGCGCGCACGCAGCCGCAGGTGGACTTCGGCACCTCCGCGTCCTCCGCGAGCAGCACCGGGCTGTGGACGGCCTGCTCCATGGGCGGTGCGCTGCTTGCCGTCGGTGCGGCCGTGACCAGGAAGGCTGCAAAGGCCCCTGTGGAGGTCGTGGC